TTTTTTGTTTGTTACTTGGCTTGAATTGTGTTTCTGACTGTGATTAGAAATTAATGGCTAAAACGTTGAGAAATAAGAACTGTAAATCAGCTGAAGATGAATATCTGTTTTTTTGGTCGCGATAATAGTTCGTAACTTCTTCGACTCATACGCTCCTCATGTTTCCAATCCAATACGTGTTCCCTTCTTTTCGTTTCATTTGTCCAAAATTCATATACTTTTCTTCCTTGTTAGTGGTGAGAATGACATACAAGGAAAACTGTTAATTTTGTAAGAGATGTGATTTATGTGATTAAAATAAAAAAATTATTTCTAATTAAATCAAGTTTTGTTTAACTTTAATTATAACAATCAAATTTTTTTTGCATAGTTTGGGCCTTCGAAGACGAAACCTCAAAGACCATGGGCCAATGGCCTATTACCATTAAATTGAGTAATCCAATCCAAGGCCTACTTTCATTATTAGCTCCATCCTGAAAATGGGTAGAATCACTGTTCATTTCAATGTTGAAGATTCCAATTTCCGGGCGGAACTAGAGGAGGGCAGCGGAGCATTGGCCCCGTCGATTGTATTTTTAATTATTAATTAAAATAAAAATATATATATTTAAAAATAAATAAATAAAAATTGTCAGGTCCCTCTTAATTAAAAAATTTATATTTATGGAAAATAAAAAAATATTTTAACCTCGCTATAATAAATTCTTAGTTCTGACCCTTTCCCCATATTTTTTTCTGTTTTAGCTTTTGTCTTGTTCTCAATATCATCTCAAGTTCACAATGATTCTTTGAAAATGGGGTCTTACTCGTATATACAATAAAAAGTTTGTCGAAAGCAGCAAAAATATAATACTACCCACAAACAGTGACTGAATGAAATAGTATTTTTTCCAAGTAAGAACTCTTCGACAATATCAGTTTTCAGGTTCCCCACCATACCATGCAAAACAATAAGAACTCCTGGGGGATATGTTATTCTGGTGTAGCTAGTTTCACCGCAGCTTACTGGGTAGTTATTGGCTACCAACACATTAGTTGTAATACCCTAATTCAAATCGTCTCAAATTCGAAGAATTTTTCTTCAAAATTATTTGCTTAACATTTAAAAAACAGTTGCATAAGATATAAACATCATAACATTTTATAATAGCGAAGCTCATTATTTGAAAATTCAATGCATGAATAAAATATTATAATACGAATTATAACGTTTACATGTGTACTAAAGCCGCCGTTATTGTAATCTAATACTTTTATTGAGACTCTTTCGATGATATCATTGTCTCATTCTGATCCTTAAAATATGTAACTTATGAATGGAGACGCATTTTGAACAATGAACTACTAGGCTTAGTGTCACAAAACTAACTATATTATATATACGACATGTATTTATAACATATGTATTTATAACATAAGTATCCCTTCAAGTATAGTTAGAGAAACAATATTGTCTATCCAATACTTCTCCACAATCACAGATCACGTACTTCAAACAGGTATTATGATGTATTCTGAGATCATACATGCATCATGGGAGTTACACTCCTCTAGCTTACTAACATAGATATTTAGATGATACATGGGTTATTCTCGTATCATGAATGTATATCTAAAAGACTCTCAATAGCTAAAAACTTCGAATAAGACTTGACTCACATCTCAATAAAAAACGTACACTTGAATAATTTACTCGTTTAAAATGTATGGATGAATCTAAACCACAAAAATATTAAAACCTCTTAGATGCTTATTGCACAATTCTCAATATAACCACTGCACGTAACTAGCTACTCTAACACCTCCACGGTATCATCTGTCGCATTCCTACATTAGCAGTTATTGGCTTATTGCATTAGTCATACAAGTACTAAAGAATTCACAATAAATCTACCTTATACACGGCGATGCTGGTGAAAACAGAAAAAAAAAGAGTAAATTATACAAATGATCACTAATGTTCAAATAAGATTTCATTTTTTTCACAGAAGTTTTGAAAATAATAAGTTTAATATTATCAATTTATAATAAATTGATCACTAATATTATCGATTTATAAAAAAATTAGTCACTCACCGTTATCAACTTTTATTGAAGGTCACATAATACTGATATGGCATGTTAAATCGTTTATCTGGCACAGTTTGACCGCATGGGAATATCGTATTGACTGGTTTGACTCCCCAATCTGCTCTATCTTAATCCCTAAAAAATCCTAATTTATCGCGGCTTTTGCTGCTTCTACTTCTACTAGACCACCTCTGAAACAAGCAGAGAAGACCAAAACGGAGAAAAAAACGCCAACTGGTCCGTCAAGAGTGACCTTACCACTGCGAAGATCTCCAACTTCATCACTACCCTCTGGCGTAATTCACATGTGACCTCACCACTCAGAAGGTCTGCTTATTAACCATAGCTATCTTCTTATTATCTCTCTACTGCTTCTATCTCTTCATTTTTTCGCAAATGACACAAATGGGGTTCATTGTTTTTGTGTGTGCAATTCATTTCCTTGAGTTGTTTGATTAATTCCAGCAAAAGAAAAATGAGTTATTATCTAAGTTAAGAGAGGGACAATTTTTTTTATATACTTTTCAGAGGAAGTAATGGTTCTCTTTTACTTGTTTAATTTGCATGGGAGTTTTGGATGTCTAAAAATATTTTTCATGTTCGTAAGTGAATTAAGATTGCATCCTTAAGTGTACTCTCCATGTGATAACTAAAACTTTAGCGAATATTCAAATTTAACAATAGGTTCTAATCCCAGTCATGCAACGGGAAGCTACTGTCTTCGGTCGACCTTTTCTCTATTGCAGTGTTAACCTCACTCTTGACAGATCAAGTGGTGGCTTTTTCTCCAGTTTGATATTCTCTGCTGCTTGTTTAAGAGGTGGTCCGATAAAAGCAGAAGCTTCAAAAGTTACGGTAAATTAGGGTTCTTTTAGGTATTGAGATAAAGGGGAGTCAAATTGGCCAACATGGTTGTCCCACATGGGCAAACGGTGCCAGATAGATGATTTAACAAGCCGCATTAACATTATGTTACCTTTAATAACAATGGTTAACAAGCGATCAATTTATCATATATTAGTGACTATTTATATAGTATATAAAAAAAATGCAATGGGTTGACTACTGAGACAGACAAGAGAATGAGACGAAGGGAATGAAAAATGTGGCTGAATGCATAGGATAATAGAAATAGACAGCATTGAAAGGGCAACTTCCCAAACAGGGATGGACCCATTTCGCCTATCACGAACCACGAACCACGAAAGGGCATCTTTCTGGGTTGGCCGCCTACTACGATTTCTCGGCGTGTTCATACACTAAATTGCGATTGGTAAGCACAGTTCAACGTTTGGGTATTAGGGAAAAAATAGGAATGATTGAATTATCGTAGTGGGTTACTAGGAATAAGATAAGGTAAGCGAAATATTATTTTATTAGATAAACTACGTATTTAGTATTTAAACTATTAATATTTATTCGTTGTAATACCTAAATTTTTTTTTTAAATCATATCTAATGTTTAGTTTTTGTTTCATTTTAGTACTCACTATTAAAAACTTAACGCATGTAATACTTACACTTAATTTTGATCCGTTTTAGTACCCAAACTTTAGATATGATTTTGAACAAAAATTAAAAGTTTAGGTATTAAAACGGACCAAAATTGATATTTTAGGTACTAAATGCCCTATTTTATTTATAGTTTTTTTAAATATAAAATAAGTGTCAAAATTATATCATTTTTCTAAATAGGTGCCTAAAGTATTTTTCGACCCATTCAGGTGCCTAAAGTTATAAACGTTACAAGTTTATGTACCTAAGTGTTAACAGTCGTTAAAAAACCCATTAAGTGACATGTGTCACAAACCTATAATTTTGAAATATTTATTTTTAAAAAATAAAAATATTATTAAATAAACGCATGCTATCCCTCCCCTGCTCTATCGACCAAAATTCAAATTGTCAGACGTCAAATGGTCGAGGAGTCGGCTTTCATAGTCAATTAAATAACCGATTATCACAATCGATCAAATGAATTTAAGGGATTAAGTATTTGGGATTTTAAGGATTAGGAAAATTAGGAATTTAGAAATTTTAAGTTTTGAGATGATATTAAGAGTTGTAACCGGTTAGCGGGTGGTCGACAACGTATGGGTGGTCTGTCGTTGGCGAATGGGTGGTCGGAGTTGACTAGTGGTTAGAGTAAATAGGATTAAAATAAGAGAGTTTAAGAGTTTAAGTTTTTTTTGTATATAAAATATTTTTAAGTTTTTTTAAATAAATTTTTAAAATTACATGATTGTGACACATATAACTTAACAGGTGTTTTTAATAGCCTTTAACATCGAAATACCTATAGGAATAACGTTTATAATATCAAACATCTAGATAAAAGGAAAAATACTTTAAACACATATTATGTAAAAAGATATAATTTGAACATTTATTTTTATACCTATATTTTTTTTTTAGGAAATCAGAACGGCTTTCTTAAGGAAGAAAAGTCGTTTACTCGTTTCCGTTTCCGTTTCCGTTTCCGTAATGTAATAAAAACAGAGAGCAAGCAATTAAAAGATCACAGCTTTGTAATAACTAACAGATCTGAAGGTTTAAAGGAGTTGCTTTAGTGCAATTGAAAATTCAAAATGAAATGAGAATCTCTCAAGCTATGTCAGGTGAGTAACAATGGAAGCAGAAACGGCTTCGTCATCGGATGAACAGAAACCATCTGCTTCAGCAGCTGATACCAGAGGGAAGCATCGGATTCTAGCAGAACTCAAGCGTTTCGAACAAGAATCCATGTTTCTCCAGGTTAGCTTTTGCTTTTTCATTTTGTTTCCTTTTCCACTAATATTCTGGTTTCCTCAATTTAATAGGAGGAAAATAGTTCATGGTAGAGTCAAAGTCCAAATAAACTTCAAGTACTTTCATTGTGGAATCCAAGTCTCCTACCTTGCAATTAGTACCATGAGTGGTTAATAGTTCTCTTACTACTTACGTGAGATCCCAATTTGATAGCTTTTGATCCTTTTTTTTATGCTATTTTGGACTACTGTAACTTTTTTTTTTGCAGAACTGTAGTTTTATTGGACTCGCAAAAATCTGCCAGGGATGTTGCAGATGCCGTATTCATCAGGTTATACTGATGTTTAGGAAGGCTTTATTAGTGGCAGGATGAAGTTCTTGATGTTCCTAAACTTTTTCTTTTCTCCTTTTCACTTAAATTCAGTGATGAAATGGTTTTGGGTTAGTGTTTTTGGCAACCATAAGATGAACTTTGTAGTATTGGTTGCTGCTCATATTTTATTTTGAAGAATTAAGGTTATATTCGGCATTAAAAGGGCTTGTTGGTTCCCTTTGTTATGGAAGAGAGTTTTTTTGCATTTGCATTTGGATTTGGCTTGCTGCTCTTGTTAAGCTTCACCTTGATTAGTCATATGCTTAGCATCAGCTAAATAAACAAGCTTTTAGCGATGTTGTGCATTTGCACCGCATAAAACCCATGTAGAATGCTGCTATATGCCTCGGGTTATCTTATCCATTCACACTTCATAGACTAGTCGACTTGGTATGGATGGAGTTGTTGGTATTCAGCTCACAGATGTAGCTTTCTCGTGTCCCATTTTTGCCCATATTTACAGCTTTCTTAGGTAGATGATTTTAATAGTTAAATACAAGATTTCCTTTACTTTGAGCAATGTCATACCTTAGTGATTCAAAAAGTTTCTGTGTGCAGAAAAGTCACCATTTACAGTTTAGCATGTTTTTTTCTCTCTTTTCATGTATTTTTTCTTTTTCCAGGACGAGATGGCTGGAGAGAACGGACAAATTGCAAAAACTTGAATATAAACTATTATCATCTATCGTTACAAGATATGTTTATCGCACAAAAGTTGTATGATAACCGGTTCGATCGGAATTAATCTCTCCTTTTCCCCCTCTCAGGATGCTGCTTAGCTTGGAGACGAGACCAGATCCGCTACTCCCAGTGTAATTGCAACAACTTGAATTATTCTTGTATCTTTTTTATTTTGATAAAGTTGTTTTTCCCTCTAATGCTTGTGTTTATTCTGTCAACAGAACACGTGGTCCTATAAACCCATCATTGGATAGATGGTCTGAAGGGCCCCAAGATTCCAAAGGTTGCAGATGCCAGATTCTATGATTTGAGCCAATCTAACATTTGTTGCCAATACGTGTTAAAATGTTACAGCTTAGTTGTTATCTTAATAGATGCTTTCAATTCTCTTTCAATAGTGTGCAATACCCAAGATTTTGGGTGGCGCCGTATAATTTACTTTTTCCGATTCGGATGAAACTTGTATATCGGATGCATCTACTGCAGATATGAGCTTCTAAACGGATGGTTCTCGTCTTCATTTTGCCGGTCCATTGTTGACTCGTAAGCAGGAAGCTCTAGTTTATGGATACCGTATACTTTCTCAACAAGAAACCAGAGTAAGTCTCTTTAATCACAAAAGGAAGAGCATGCTGGAATTATCAGGTGTGCTGCCCAACGGTTTGTGATAGATTTGGAAAACATAGTCACTGTTTAAACTACAGCTAGGTCACTATGTTCAGCAGACCAAACAGACCTAGAACAGTGAGGTGGGGCGTCTTCCATTCTGCTATTCCCGCTACTTGATTGCTTAATGATGTTTTCATCAACCTCTGCATGTGAGTTGAAATATCATATACCTGTTTCAACCACGGAAGCTCTCTCTTAGGAGTTACATCACAACCACTACAAAGATTTCCTTTTCTTGGAGGTTCTACCGATGACTGAAATGCAAGCCACCAGCTTCGAATGGAATTGTCGGCCAAGTCTGTTATTCTCCGCAACCTGCAAGCGTATGTAATCTGGCTTACCCTATATAAAAATACGTTGAAACAAATTTTTGTAAATATTTTTAAATGAGATTAAACAATAACTAAAATATGTAGATGGGCCGTTGAAACTCAGAGGGATCCAAATTGTGAAGAAAAAATAGTAAAGATTTTTTTCATTAGTTTAAGGTGATTATAATTAATATATGTTCAGAATTGTGTTAATCAATCGATAATATATACGTCTTGTAGATGCAATTTCTTAAATCTATAATTTCTATGAAAAATAATATTTTCTTTTATCATCAAAATCATTTGATTTGATGAGTTAAATTATATTAGAAGAGTTAAAGTTTTTTTTTATTAATTGGGATAAGTACGAGGTAATATATGTTCAAAGATAATTCTCAACTATTTGACATTGAACGCTTACATCTATGGTATTCCTGTTGCTCGAACCCGAAACCTTAAAAAATAACTACAATTCTTTAAGGTTGCTCTGTTCGTGTAAGAGTCAAAGTTAAATTACTAAAGAATATTAAACATATTTTTAACATCTTCGATGAGTTGATTTTTTTTCCCTTATAGGAATGAAGCTTCAGCCGTTGTTATCCAGTCTCCAACCTTCTTCCTTTATTCTTATCCCAGGAGCCGGTTGACGCAGAGTTGGCTTTACATCGGCTTATGAAATGCCCATTTTCGGTTTAAGGATGGGCTGTCGTTTTGTTGACCCAACAGTAGATTTGTTGACCCAACAGTAGAAGACGTATCCTTTGGGTGAGGAATTTAGGCTGATTAATCCTTTTTTTTAAATGGGATGATAATATTACTAAGATCAATCAATAGAATGTAACAATCAAAGAAATTATCTTGAGATAAACTGAGTCGAAAATATTTAGGCTGACAATTTGATGGCGGAGGGTTGGGTTTCATATAAATTAAGCTTAAATTTATATTCACAACGTTTTAAAAATTGAAACATATGATTTAATGTTGATATTTTTCATATATAATCGATTCTAAACTCAATTTTATCTTTACATTTAAATCAAGATTTTTAAAATTATTGTTTTTTATAAAAAGAAAAAATATAAATATTTAATTTAAAATAATTAAGGTGAATCTCTTTTTTTTTTATTAAGGCGAATCCTATTTTAAAACACAAACAATGATTAAAAGAAAAATATAAAAAAAGCATCATAGGTCCCTCTACTTTTTTAAAAAAATCAATGTGGTTCTTGTCTTATTTTCTCTCTCTTAATATGGCCCACAATAAAGAAAATAGACCCGACCATTTGATCAACGTTTTTCGTAGTTGATTATTATGGTGTTGACGTGATAATTCATGGTACTGACACAGCGATCCATAGTGTTGATGTAACAGTCCACAGTGACTAATATCGTAGCTGATGACATGACTAATGAACTAAATTGATTTTTTTTCTCCTGGGTCAAATTTATTTTTTAAGCTCAAGAGTTTATTTAATTTTTTAATAAAAATTATTTTAAATTTTAACAATAAAATATTTAACTATTAAAAAAATAAATATAAAAAGTAATAAAAATAAATTATTTAAAAACCAAATATTCATAATAAAATACTAAAACTATTATAAAAAAAATTACAATTTTTTGAATATATACTGTAGGTTATAAAATGGTAACTTATAAATTATTAAAAAATAAATTTTTTAAAAGATACATTATACATAATATATACATGTAATATATAGGTGTATGCTATATCATCAACACTTATATAAAATATTTTTTATTAGATTAATCGAGACATGCAAATTTAAATTAGTCAATGCTTACAAATTTTGGATTAGTCAAAATTTACCATGTTTTCTACTTATATTTTATGTCAAAATTTATTATATAATTATCTTTTTAAATTAGTTAAGACTTAAAAAATAATTAGAAATATAATAAGTTTCAACTAATTCAAAAATCATAAGTCTCAACTAATTTAAATTTTGTAATTCTCGATTAATCCAGTAAGAATACTTTGTATAAATGTCGATAATATGCATATATGTTACATGTATATGTTAAGTATAATATATATTTTTTAAAAATATTTTTATTTTTTAATAATTTATAAGAAATTATTTTACAACCTATTATATAAATTCAGTTTTTTGAAAGAAAAAAATTATAGTAGTTTTAGTATTTTTAATATGTATATTCAATATTTTAGTAATTTATTTTTTAATAATTTTATATTTAGTTTTTTGAAAACTTGAATATTTTTATATTTAAAATTTAAAATAATTCTTATTTTTTTAAAATAAATAAGCCTTTGATTTTTTTTAAAATTGACTATCGATCAAAATAAAAAATTTAATTTAATCTATATGTCACATTATTAATCACAATGAACTGTTATATTAGTATCATAAATATCTACGTCATCACTATGACATGTTACTTTAATATAATAACAATCAACGATAAAAAAATATTAATTAAAAAATCACATTAAATTTATTTTTTTCAATAAGAGAATGACATTAAAAAGTAATTCGGTGGACACGTTAAATTCTTTAAAGTGCATGGACATCAGATCCTTTTTGCCCAGAAAAAATATATTTTTTGGAGAAAGGAAACGGCTTCGACACTTACTTTATGTTGTAGTTTACTTCAACGCAACCAATTCATTCAGCTCTCCGTTCCGAGAGAGAAAAGCTATGGGAAAGGTATGTGAAAGTTGCTTTGGGAAACAGCTGGCCAAGCCACGCTAATTTCCATGCAAGTGGAAAACAACATCATTAAACCCCGCTTCGACAAGACCTGAAAAAATTAACCCAAGAGACCGCTCGCGTTAAGCATCTGTTTCACCACCGCTTTTGTGTGTTTTTAGGCACATGAGATCAGTTGGTTTTAATTAATTTAATAACCTATATTCCTAGTTTACTGTCCAAGGAGAATGAACCCCATTATAGCTTATACTGTTCCTTTTTTCGCCGCTTCAGAAAAGAAAAACTTCACAAGCAGATTGGTTGCTCTTTGAAGTTCTTTTGCTTTTGATTCCAATTCGACGTAGATGTTTAAGTCATGTGCATGTTGCTTTGTTAATTAATAGTTTGCTTCCAATATCAGTACCCAGTTTCTTTATGAGATAATAATGATGAGCCATATGCTATCAGATTTAGGTAATTGTGAGATTTTGACCAATGTTGAAGATCACTCTTGTTCACCAACATATATACTTGAACTTCGCATTATTTTATTCATGGTGGTGACTAGACAATGGATTAAATCTTCCCTGCTAAATGACAGGTTTCCAACTCTAAGTCTGCTCTTATCTAACCTGCTCTTCATTTTATACAAAGACAAAAATATATTTATTGTTATTGGTAGGGGAAATAGGAATTATAACAGTTTTTATTGATCAATCCTTTTAGTTTAAATAGAGAATTATAAACGAGAGCTATAAACGATGATCGGTGAAAAAGGAAAGAAATCACAAAACGACGAAGTTGATGAATAGTGGCAAAAATCTTGAGAATGATTGTCACCCTTTTATATACATTTTTTTAGTATTGGTTTTAGATCTAGGGTGATGTAGGTTATGAGATTGTACATTTAGTTAGTACATCACGTAATATTATCAAAGATAGATCATGTTAAGGATAGTGGCTGATCTACATTCGTATTGCCCACTCTAAAATTCAAATTAATCTTAATTTTTTTTCTTATAATTATTCATTTTATTGATTTTTTATAAAATTTTATTGATTGTTGTAACTCTAAAATTATATTTGTGTTCAATGCATATAAAAAATGTGTTGTTAATACATGTATATATTGTAACACCCTAAACCCGATTGGGCCTAAAGTGCCTCATTGGGTTGTCGAGACAATCCCTGAATTTCAAAACATATTCATTTTATTTTCAAACGTACTGAACGATATCATAATTAAACATAAAAAAAATTATAAAATCATTTTACAAAACCGAAGCTCTGTGGCATATAATTTAAAACAAAATAAGACATCTTAAAGATTACAACTCAAAAACATAAATAAGGTTATATGAATACACATGCCATTAAAGCTACAGTACAATACTCTGTCAGAGATGCTGGAAGTCATGCCACGACGGTACTCCATGAACTACCCAAGCTACTGACATGTCAACGGAAAACATCCGAAGGATGAGCTTACAAAGGCCAATAGTATAATCGCTAATATAGAGCATCATAAGAATTTCATAAATATAAGCATGATGAATACATGACACTAAGCAGTAGGTACATACATGACCTGGATCAAGTGCTACCTACTTAAGGCTTTACTACTCTATTACTGAAGTAAGGGTCTCACGCTTCCCTTATTCCTCTGCTAAGGGCCTTGCCATGAGTACGCCTCTAAAGGGTCTCTAACCCTAACGACTGAACATGTTACACATTATCTAAATGCGACACAAATACTCATGTGCATTATATGAATGCAAACTTGACATAATGTACATTATATGAATGCAAACTTGACATAATGTGCATTATCTGAATGTAATCTGAATAGTATATGGTTTCACATAGCTCTCAGACACTAGTTACTGAGGGAACCCTGGTGTCATATATCATCGGCGTGATTCCCACAGCATACTGAATGATCTCCTGGTCCTCACATATTCATCAGGTAGATCATTGAGGGGAACCCGATGTCACATAGTATCGGTATAATTCCCGTACAAACTAAAACATTGGCTTGGTCTCACATAACCTTCAAACCAAGCTTTAACATATCTGACATGATGAATTAACGAGACTATACATTCATGATTGACATAAATGGACAAGGGATTAGTTTGGTGGTGTGTTAGGAGGAATTTACTTGCATCTTAGAGCGACACCCTATCCTACTTTGAATACGAAAAAACCAAGAGGTAAGAACCGAAATTTACGTGCATTGAAAGCTTACCCAACATAATTGACATAACTAACCATGCAGATCTAAGGCCCATAGGTCACATAATACTGACATTGCTAACCCATACCTCGCGAGTGTTCGGGTCTCGCACCCTAGTAAGCCCTTGAAGTGCCTCGTGAACTGGTAATGCCCCACTAGGACAATTAAGTTAACCTGGTACACCTTGACATAACTGGACTCACTAAGGTGAAGTC